AACAAATACAGGCATGATAAAGAAAAAGACTGAAAGAGCCAATTATGTGAAATGAAAACTTCTGTACTCCCAAAAATATCATAAACAAAATTAAAAGACAAAAGGAAAAGTTTTTTTTAAAATATTGGCAACACGGCAACATATAGGACCAGTTCAAGTACTAAAATCTTGCATATTAGCAAAACATAAATAAATACCCCAATTTAAAAAAATGAACAAAGGATGTACAAGAAATCCCTGAAAGAAATTATGCAAATGCCAAACAAAGCATATGATTTTTAAAAGGAAAATTATCTAATAAATGTATATGTGCAAATTAAAATGGGATGCCATTTTTCTCTTTCAAATCAGGAGATTTTTTTCGAAAGGATAATATCCAATGTTGGCAAGTTCGCAATAATATAGATATGTTTTCACGCTGCTGCTGGGACTGTTAATGGTATAATCTTTCTGGAGAGCAATTTCACAATTTGTACCAAAATCTTTTTTAAAGTTTATATTCAGAGGGAACATTACTCCCCACTCCATAAGTGTAGCTAGCCCCTCACAGTACTTCCAAAGACTACAGTACAGAAAGGTGGGGGGATAACTTTACAGTTGAGCAACCTGACACACACTACATCAGCCAGGTGGTCAAGGTCAACATCAGCAGTCATAAATCATGTTAATGGTATGTACCCTAGATATGATGTAATAAAAATGGCACATTACCTCTGTGATCTTCCTCTCAAAAACCCATAACCCCAATCTAATCATGAGAAACACATCAGACAAATCCCAATTGAGAGACATCCTACAATATGACCGACACTTCTCAAAACTCTCAAGGTCGTTAAAAACAAGACAAGTCTGAGTAACTGTCACAGCCAAGAGGAGCCTAAGGAGTTATGACAACTAAATGTAAAATGTGTTGTTATGGACAGGATCCTGAAACACAAAAACGACATTACGTAAAAACTAAGGAAACCTGAATAAAGTATGGACTTCAGTTAATCATTATGTATCAATATTGGTTCATTTACTGTATCAAATGTGCTACGCTAATGTAAGATATTAATAATAGGGGGAAACTGTGCAGGGTATGAGCAACTCTGGATGGATTGCTCTAAGGTATATGACAGTAGCCAGCTTAATTTTTCAGTGATGGTTAATGATTCTCCTCAGCAAAGCAGGGGAGGTAAGCCAGTGAGATGATACTTGTAAAGTGCCTAACACAGTGCCTGGAACACAAACGCCCCTTCCATCTTCCTGCCAGCTCACCACAGTAATTGCTTGCTTATTGCTTGTGCATCCACTCCTGGACCAGGGGATTGTTTTGCAAAGATCATCCCTTCAGATATGGTCAGGTATGCCCTAGGCCTTGGCTAGTGGGAAATTTTTCTCAGCTTTTGAGGTTCAGGAGAGCTCACTTGTGAAGCTGATAGACCTTGTGAGATAGACTTTTTTTTTTAGGTTTCTTAAATGACCTGCACTTTTGGCTCAAAATTGATGGCACCTTAGAACCATCTTTTGCTGATCGGTTATGTCAGGGCCACATGAAAAAAAATGGAGTGGGATTTATTTAACAAGCTGAAGATCAAGGATGAGCCCTTAGTAAACTATACTGTACAAAGTTATGTTTTGGATGTCATGGTTTGGCCTATGGCATGTTCACATTTTTTTTTAGTGACCTTTTGAATGTGGAGCCTAATTTTCTCTCTTTGAGCACGAACATTACTTAGTGACTGACTTGTAAAGAACACAAGGTGGAATAAGTGAAGATTAGGACAGAGTGGCCTTGTCCTTGCTCTCTCAGAGCACTCGCTCTGGAGGAAGCCAACTGCCATGCTGTGAGGACACTCAAGCAGCCCTATGGAGAGGTTCATGTGAGAGGAACTGGGGCCTCCTGCAAACATCTAGTCAAGAATCGAGGCCTTCTGTCAACAGTCATGTGAATGAGCTGCCTTGGAAGTGAATCAACAAGCCCCACTCAAACTTTCAGATGACTGTAACCGTGGCCAGTGTCTTGACTGCAATCTCATGAAAGACCCTAAGCCAGAACCACCGGATGAACTGCTCTGAAATTCTTGACCCAGAAAAACATGTTTCATAATGAGACAATGTTTGCTGTTTTGATCTGCTACATTTTGAGGTAATTTTTTATGTAACAATAGACAACTAATACAGGGACCCTTTTCCAAGACCAAGAACATTATAACTGGGGCTTTCTTAGGCACAAAGTAAAACATACAACACTGATTTAAATTTTAGCTAAGGGTGTGTGTGTGTGTGTGCATGTGTGTGTGTTAACATACATAAAGTGCACAATTTAAGTGTACAACTCAAGGAATTTTTACCTATGTGCATATCCATGCAAACATTACCCAGGTCAAGATTTAGAACACTTCCCTTACTCTAAGAAATTCCCCCATGCCCATGTCCAGTTAATAACTTGTCCCAGATGTAGCCATTTTTATGAGCTCTATAACTACAGGTTAGTTCTGAGTTCATCTAAATGGAATCATTCAGTATGTGCTCTTTTATGTCTGCCTCCTTTCACTCAGCATAATAATTTTTAAATTTATGTCATTACATGTTTCAATAGTTTGGTCCTTTTATGGCTGGGAAGTATTCCATTATACAATTATGCCAAATTTATTTATTTCCCTGTTGACAGACACTTGAGTTATTTCCAATTTGAGGCTATTATAAGTAAAGCTAATATGAATATTCTTGTACCAGTCCCTTTGAGGACCTATATAGTCAGTGTGCTTGGGTAAATTCTTAGGAATGGATTTGATGGGTCATAAAGTGGGTATATGTTTAACTGTCAAGCCATTTTCCAAGGCAGCTGGGTCATTTTACATTTTCACTCAAAGTAATTCTTTCTTTCTTTCTTTTCTTTTTTATTTTGCAACGCTAGTTTGAAAAGAAAGAAAAACAAAAGTTAGCCTTAATGAAAAACGAGTGGCAGTGAATAAAGAGCTTTCTACATTTCTACATTATTTGGAAGCGTCAAAAAAACCTGTCTAACAAGGCACAGAGCTATCTGACAGCATAACCTCCAGGAAAATACTTTTGTTTTGGTCATCGGTTTGGAAATAATTGTAGCCACTTAGATCAAAGGTTTTCACAAAGATGATTGGAGCAGGGGCCCAAGTCCCAAGAGGAGAAGAATTTACATAAAGAACCCTTCTGATGAGCTGCTCAGTCTGTTAAATGGGAGGGAAAATTCTCTTCACTCATGGTGTTCTTGTTTACTGGGTCAGCCCAGCGCTGTGACAAATGGAACAACTCCTTGATGCCTAACACAGCTTGCCCCCACCCCCGCACCCCTGCACCCCTCGCCCAGGCACTGCGTCAGCTTTGTGTTTCCCATGAGTTCTGCTTGAAATAAACAGACCTGAGAAATTTATTAATGATGCACTCTGGGGCATAAGGCTGTGATAGGCATCAGGCTCCAAACACAGCCCCAGGAGCCAGTCTCCAGCTTGCTCACAGCAAACGAGGTGTCTGCAAGTCCTTTCTTGTTCTGAAACCTCCCCAACACCCACGGCATTGTTTTCGTTGGTTGTATGGGGTTTAGTAACAGAAAATGAAAAGCAGAAAACCAGACTATCAGCTCCAATCTCAGCAACTTCCGGAGATGCTCAATGAAATATTTCTTCTATTAAGAAACTTAAAAATTGGCGACAAGCTCTATGTCCAAAAATGGGAAATGGTTAAATAAAAGCTCCTCCTCCTCCTGCAGTTAGTGGGAATTATGTGCAGAGAAATGACACAATGAAGCCCTAGCAAATTCCTGAGGCAGCAGTGTGCTGAGAAGAGGACCATTCTGCAATGCAGAAGGGCAAAAACCCTGGACCCAGGGGCTCCAAGCCCACCAGTAGGCAATTATTTCTAGACAACTCAGGAAAGGACTGGGACTTGGTCCTGGACAAACTGATGAAGTTTCTTGTGACTTTTATTATTATAAGTGGCTTAGGTGCCAGAGGGAAAGAAAGAAGAAATCCTTTTTTTTTCTCTGAGTACCTACCACTGGCCAGGCACCGCGCCAAGCACTTAAGCATTAATTAACGTGATGTCCGCAACAGCTCCGTGAAGTAGGTACCATTATCCCCTTATCAGAGATGAGCTCTGCCTTAAGGAAGTTCAATATCTTGTGCAAGTTCCTCCAACGAAAAGGAGAGGGAGCTGGGATTGAAACCCTGGTCTCCCTATTCCAAGCACTTGCCCTGGACTTTACTAACAGCAGACAGAGGCTAAACGGAGATTTTAGATGGGCAGCTGCCATCCTTGGCATGGACAAAGGGACCACGCACGTAGAGTAGAAACTGTGCTTGAAAAGGAAAACACGTTTTTCCCTTTAAGTTCTGCTCTTAATAACCAAACGGCTCTCCACAGCCCAGCTTTAGCTTATATTCCTATGGGAAAGGTTTAATCAAAAAGCCTCTTCCTGTGAGAGTATTGCCTCCCCGAACCCCTGTGGTCCACACTGACTGGCCTTGAGCTTTATGTGGCTGTGAGCGTTTCTGCTTTCCCCCCTCTAAACCAGGGAGGACAGCTTCCCTGCTACCTACCTCACCTTTCTGGTGTAAAGGAAAACCTTGCCTTCTTTATTCACTGTTTCCTTAGAGAATTTCTCCAGCACTAGAGTCATGGTGTTTTTGTAAGTCGCACAAACAAGAATGCATTGCTTCTATTACTGTCTATGTGCGTGTTGGGGTCTTCTTGATAATGGCAGGCTGGGGTGCCCTTATTAAACAGTGAAGGTCACCTCTCTGCCAGGCTCTGTCATCGGTGAGCTCTGGCTTCCTTCCCACAAGTGTGTCTCTTCCAGAGCTTTTTGCAATTATGGCTTATTCCTCTACGTTTCCTACGGCAGGCGTCTGAACAGAATTAAAAGCATAAGCACGTGCAAAAATAATCCGCTTCCCAAGATAGTAAATGCTGAGAAGTTCTATATTAGAACACACTGTGAATGCTGACAGGCTAGAGCATGATTAACCTAATAGGCTTAAAGTTCCACTTGCCATCCACATCTGTCAGGACACGAGCAAAACGCAGTCCCTAATCCACGAGACTGAGGTCCTTTACAATTGCCCTGCTGCTCACTAACAGCAGAGGGTCCAAAACTTAGAATGGGACAACAGGCACCAGGATGGGGCCAAGGAGGTAAAGAAAGCTCGCTCGGAGTTGAGGACACTGTACCATGGACTTCAAAGGATTCCGGCCTGAAAACTGCCTGGATGGACTAGTAAGGCTGCCTTTTGTTCCTACTTCAAATATGATTCTCTGGAAATTGTGAATGTTGCGGGTGGGAGATGTCTACAAGCTGAAATCATGGGGTGTACACCTTCCCACAGTGACGTTGTAAACAGGGTGGCTAAGAGTGGCATCCAGTTTTTTAAAAAGCCCAAAGTAACTCTGCCAGAAGGTCAGGGGGGCAATGAAAGACACTCCATCCCTTTGCTGGTTCAAAGCTCCACCTGCTATGACTCTGGGGGCAACCTGTCCCAGGGACAGATGCTGGCAGAGGCGCAGCCAGATCCCAGATGGACCCAAAGTATGGCCGAGGGTCATCAGCTCACAAGAGATTCCACTGTAGGCAAAAGGAAAGATCTGGAAGGACTGATCACAGAAACCCAAACCACCCCATCCCAGCTGAACAAATCCCAAAGCCACATGGCTAAGGACATTCCATTCAAGACCCACGGGTCCCAAGGGGCAGCCTCTTTTGGGGAAGGGAGTGATGAAAGTAACATCCAAGAGAACTTCAAATGGGAAAGGGAGCTGAAATGCCACAGGTCAGGCAAACAGGGCCATCGCTGCCAAGCCACCCTTCCTGCTCATGGGCCTGAGCGCAAAGTGGACTTCCCTGAGCCCCTGGTGAAGGCCCACCAGCATGCTTACACCTACCTGCACTCCTGCCTCTCTAAATACGAAGCGATTCTGAGCCTCACCCATCTGGCCACCCAGACCCAGGAGCTGCTGCAGCCCATGGTCAGCTGCCTGCTGCTGTGCTCTGATGAGGTCAACCAGCTCTTGGCGGAGCTCTCCGGGGATGGAGAAGTGCTCCTCCAGGAAGTTAAGGAGAATCTGGCTTGGCCATTGAGGACAGGGGAGCCCCAGGAGCAGCCAGGTCTCCTGCAGCAGCTCCTGCAGTACACAGTCTGCAGGCTGCAGGGGCTCAGTGGCACCATGGCCTCGCTCACTGGCTGCTTCCTGGAGAGCTCCAGCAGCTACCTCCAGGCCACCGCAAGCCACTTGGGAACTAAGCTGAGCGTGAAGAGGGACGTGGATGAACGCCTCCGAAGGGCTCTGGGGCAGCTGGAGAGCTTGGCGAGTGTCCACAGTGACCCTGGGGTGCAGGGCCTACCCTTGTGTTCTGAGGACAGTGGCATTGGTGCCGACAGTGAGTCTGTGCACCTGGTGGACGGGCTGGGCAAGCAAGCCAGCTGGGACTCAGTGTTGGAGCCTGCAGAATGGAAGCTGGGGATGCCACCCACAGTGGAAGCCAGGCTGTCGGCACATACCTGGCAGCAAAGTCCATTCTGGAGGGGTTCAGACAGACCCCAGAGCTGCCCACTCTCAAGGGCTTCTATGACAAAGGTTCAGCCAGCGGCCCAGGATGGAGCAAGGAGCCCAGATCCCTCCAGCACAGGCCCAGAAAGTGCTACCCCCGGGTCTCTGGAGCTGGGCAAGAGCACCCTGTGTGACTCATCTTGGACCGGGATCTCCTCGGAAGCGCATCTTTTTAAAGGCTCCGGGTTGATGGATACTTTATCCCTCAGTGAAGTGGAGGACAGCAGCACAAAGGAAGAGGAACGTGGTTTCCATCCAAGGCCGAGGTCTTCACCTGCTGGCCCAGAAAGCCCATTTCTGCCACACCCCAGGAGGCTTAGGGGCCCCCAGGCCCAGGAAATGATTCTGAAGATGAAGGAAGCGATCAGCGAAAGGATCAAGTTTGTCCCTGTGCCCTCCGGGCACCAGGACTGGGCTGAGGAGGAGGAGAGGACAGCGGTGCCAAGACCGAACACAGTCAGTGGCAGTAGGAGTGCCCCCGAGAGGCAGAGGAGGTCCCAGTCAGAGGCATGTCTTAAGAGTTACATAGAGAAGCCCACCCTCCAGGAGCTGCAGAGGATCCAGAGAGACCTCAGCCAGCGGCTGGAGGTGTTCTCTACCCTGGGCGCACGTCGGCACAGGCAGAGCAGGGAGCAGGTTCTGCAGCCCAGAGCAGCGGCTCTGAGGCCTGACGGCCACTGTAGAATCGTCCCGAGCAGCACCATCAGCAAGCTGAAGGCATCGCTCACTAAGAAGTTCAGCATTTTGCCAAGTCAGGACAAGAGCATTTTGCAGAAATGCAGTCCCCAGCCTGAGGGTGAACGGCCCTGGCAGGGGAAAACTGAGGGGCTTCCAACTACCATCCCATCAGGGGAGAATGCCAGTGAGGCTCCTGGGGCCACGGACTGGGACGTCAGGGCCCACCCTACCAGAACATCAGTCAGGAAACTCATTGAAACTTTCAGTCCCACTGAAGTACGGGAGAAGTCCAAGGACTTTGGGCCAAATCCCTGCCACAGGAAGTGGGGGGTCCCCATCATGTCCCCCAGATTTCCCATTTACAGAGGGCTTGCCCCTTTCTATCCAAAGCCTCAAATTTCTCCAGCAGTGGACAGAGGATCTCTTACAGTAGGCCCAAGCTGGAGGCCCTTAGCTCCTGTCTTCCCCCCTCTGAGGACTGCAGAGGCATCCAAGAATGAGGACCTCAACTGCGAAACAGAGGAAGACCCAGAGCACTTCCCTCCACCGCCTCTGGAAATCCTGATGGACAAATCATTCACTTCTCTGGAACCCCCTGAAAGCAGCAACCTGGTAGGGAGCTCCCCCAAAGGGACCCATGTGCCAGGGCTGGGAGGGGCTGGCCCTGCCCGGAGAAGGTGGGCTTCCCCAAAGCTAAGAGCCTCCATAAGCCCCACCGACCTGCTGCCCAACAGGAATGCTGCCACCTCTACCAGGCCCCACAGCACAGGGCCAGGGGGCAGCAAGAGTAACTGCAATCCTGGAAAGCTTACCTTGGGCCTCAACCACCTGCCAGCAACCAGCCGAAACCCAGAGGGAGAGGGTGGCAGGGCTCAGAGCCGGGCACAAGCAGACAGGGCCACAAGCCTCTCTAAGCAGCCCCAGAAGGCAATCCCCTGGCACCACGCCAGCCACACATCTGGGCAGAATAGTACCTCAGAACACAGGCTGCCCAGACCAACCCGGGGGTCACGTTCTCCCGAGGCCCCAAAGCAGAGCCAAGAGAGAAGCCCTCCACCGGTCAGGAAGGCCTCTCCCACAAGGGCACACTGGACACCCAGAGCAGACAAGAGGCACCCAAGCCTGTCCTCCTCTCAGAGACCTGCCCGGCCAAGTGGTTCCTCTGTGCACGGGTCCCCCAGCCCAACACTCAGCCCTCTGGCAAGCCCCAGGGCACTAAGCCCCCCGACAGTGAAGAAAGGAGCTTCCCCGCCACCCCAGCACAAGCTGCCCAGCCCTCTCCCAGAGAGCCCACTCATTCAGCATGAGGTCTCCAGCACCCCTACCCCATGCACAGAAGCAAGTTCACCTGCCTTGGGCCCCTCCACATCTCCCCCAGTATCCCCACCTCAGGGGCACAAGGAAACAAGAGATTCTGAAGACAGCCAGGCAGACACCACCAAAGCATCTGGAAACACATGTCCCATATTCTGCCCAGCCACCTCCTCTCTGTTTGAAACTAAATCGCCATGCTCAACAACCCACGCACTCACCCCGTCGCTGGCACCTGAAGCTGGGGGCCTTCGTGGGACCCCTACAAGGTGCTGGAGGAGCAGCTCAGGAGCACGACTGAGGGTGGGCTCACAGCGGGGACTGGGTCTGTGTGCCCTAAACCCTCAGCCCTTCGTCAGAAGGACAGCTTCTGACTGCCAGCCGGGTATCTGCCTCCGACTGCCTGTGCCGGGTGCCTCCGGCAACACTTGTGAACCCCAGCTTGGCCAGAGCAGGTAAGAGAGTCCTCGTGCCATGGCCCTTAGTTATTGTAATAGAGCTGAGAGGTCCTTAGGATCACCTGGGTCAGTAGCTTCAAAGTGTGCTCCAAGAGAAGAGGCGGTTGGAAAAAAGGTCTAGGGGTGTCCAGCACCTCCCCGCACCCCCCACCAGACCGCCAAACCCAGAGCAACTGTGTTTTCATCTGTCACTCATTTCAAGTTCTCCAAAAAGATTTTAATTGAAAAGAGGTTCTGCTGTGTTAAAAATAAAGTTTAAAACAGTCAAGTTAATCCAACCACACAAACCCCTTTATTTTACAGGGAAACAGAGATAAAGTGACTTGCCCCCGTGGTTGAGTCACTGTCACCCTATCTAGAACCAGCAGCCTGATTTCTGTCCTTTCTGGTTTACTGCAGTAAACCACCATCTAGGTGGAAGGTTCTCAAACTTGGGGGTCCTGGGGCCCCTTCAAACTCTTAAACATGACTGAGAACCCAAAATAGCCTTTGTGCATGTGGGTTGCAGCTATCACTTTTTACTGTATTAAAAATTAAAGTTAAGGAACGTTTGAAGTATTTATTAATTAATTTTTAAATGACCCTATATTATATGTTAACATAAATAATACATTCTTATGACATTTAACTATATTTTCCACAACAAAAGAAAAAACTTAGTGCAAAGAGTGGCACTGTCTTGCATTTTTGCAAATCTCTCTAGTGTGTGGCTGCACAGAAAGACAGCTGGATTCTCAGATCTGCTTCCGCAGTCTGTTGTGAGATCACACATCATGGAGACAGGAAAATTCCACTCTACATTCATGAAAGAATGAGTGAAAAAGGCAAATAACGCCTTCATGTTAGTATGAAAGTAGTTTTGACCTCATAGACCCCCTGAAAGTGTTTTGGGGACCCCCCCCCCCGGGGAATGGCTGGTCCTGGAGGTATGGAATATTCCCCCAAGGACCTGCCACCACTTCTCGTCCAATCCAGCCTCCTCTCCACCTCTCCCTTCATAGGTGTGGGGAGGGAGAATCAGGCTCTTCATGAGCACCGAGCACCAGAGCCCAGGCGGAAGGGTTGCCACCCTCGCCCTTGGCTGTCTGAGTTCCAAGTGTGCTTTCTCACGAGGGCAACTGGCTTGTATGTCATTGGCCCATCCACGCAGACAGGCCTGGGCACACGGCCGCCATGGCCCAGGAGTCAAAGTATATATAGCCTGCCTGAGCATTGAAAGGACTCATGTGCTCAAGTGGCTATTTTACAGAATAAATGGAGAAATGTGTCTGTCTTTTCCAGAATGGTGGGAAAGGTGGGGAGGGGGGATGTAAATCTTATTAGCGAGGAACTCTTATCCATGTGTCTGGATATCAGAGTAGACAAAATTCAACCAGCACCAGTCCTTGCGCTCTTGGCATTTCCCACAATTGTGTAAACCAGCTGTTAATTTCTGCCAGAATGACACGTGTTACAGACTTAATCTGTTGAGGCATAAATAGTAATTTTTTGTACGAAGCACTCGGCAGTCAGTTTTAAATAAAGTCATTATCTCAAGAAAGTTGTGCCTTTTTGTAGCTATATAAACTTCCCCAGCCACTTGAAAGACGTGAAGTATTGATTATTTTTGCAAGAATCTTAATGTAACACTGCTCTTTCCTTAAATCTGAAATGAGCTTCCCACCGCGGTGGCTTTCATCTGAGAACCTCTATAAATGTTAATGCATTGTGCCTCACACTAGCCACTTATTCAGTTATTAGATTTCTAAAACTGTGCCCTTCAGGAGAAGAGCTGGAAAGAACAGGGACAATAAAATGGCATTAATTAAAAACACTAACATTTTAAAACAGCAGGAGCAATAATAAAGCAACATAAAATTGTTCAAGAAGAAAATAATGCCCTTCTCTCAGGTTTTTCCTCAGGAGAGGGCAGCCTAGAAGGTTGTTTTATGTCCTGAATCTTAGTACTTAAAGAGATTGGCGGTGGGGTGGGGGTGTGTGTGTGTGTGGGGGGGGGATACTTGTAGCTTAAAAGAGAGAGGAGGAGTCTTAAACAGGAGCTTTCCCAAAGTCACGCGGAAGGTCACATAATGATTCGCACCATTCCCTGTCTCCTGGTTAAGACCACACCTCTGAGCTATTTCCAACTGTGATATTGCACATGTGATGGAAAGTTGCCGTCTGGGAGCAGAGGCACACCAGCTGTAAGAGCGCTGAGCGTTTTCTGCTCTGTAGATGGCAAGCATTTTTTTTCTGCCCTCCTGCATATAGGAAACCATACCAGGGAACTGACCATGTAATAAGCCAACAAGCCAGTGCCAGAGAGGCAGGAACTGCTCAGAACGGGCTGTTTCCCTGAGCAAGGACACAACCACACCCGTCGTATCTTGCAGCACAGGCAGGCTTGCAGCATGAACTGGCCAACCGCTGGCATTGACCTCCTTCTGGACATCCCGTGCTAGGCACAAGACTCTCTTATAGAAAAAATGATGATGTTTATATCCTCCCGATCGTGAGGCCCAGAGGATTGGGAACAGTCCTTGAAGGCTTACCCAGGAAGCCCAGTTATTGAGCTTCAACAGTTATTTATTTATGTGTTGAATTCCCTGGTAGACGTGCCAGTCTCTAGGTCTCAGCATGCTGGGGCACTGTGGGCATTCAAGAAGGGTCCAGACTTTCTCCCTTAAATGCAGCGCTTTTAGTCTTTGCTAGCACCGGACTTCCCAGGAAGGGGCTCTCTGCAGAACCCTCCCCACCCCCCATTTCCTGGGTCAGGCTACCTGGGCAGCCTGCCCCCCAAACAGTTCTGGGAACAGGTGAAACCACAACCACATGGTGGCGACCAGGAAAATTGGCCTCCTAGCCTGAGCTTCACGCAGACGTGAAAGCCGGTTGAGGTTGGGGAAGACACAGTTCTAGGACCACATTATTTGTCAGACCTTGGAGTCAGCCTCCACTGACACTCGTGCCACAGCCGCGCCTCTGGGCAGGTCCTTTCCATTCCTGCCAGCTGCTCCAATCGGAGAACAGCCAAGGGTCAAGGAGGGAGTCCATCCTGCATATGCCTTCCCCTGTTCCAGGGGTACGGGGAGAAGTAAGGTGGGAGCTGTGCCCCATAATTCACACTGGGTCCTGTAGGGACTTGTGATGGGGCCAGAGGCCGACATGAATGAGACTGACCTAAGTACCATGGTGGGTCCCTCACTGCCTGAAAATCACGTATATATGTTAGTCTAGTGCCCCCCCCCCGGCCCCCACACACACCTCACTCCCCGATTCCTGCCACAGTAGAGCTCACAGAATAGGCAGGAACATGCTGTCACAGGCAGAGAGAAAGGCCTTCTGGTCTGTGCATGTGGGAGCTGGGTCCAGTCCTGGCCCTAACGTGATTGATTGAGAGACTGACCCTTAGGTGCTCCCTGCAGTATGACAGGGTGGTCCTGAGGGTCCTTTCTAGGTGTGACTTCCTGTTTGTGCTACAAAGCAGCACCAGAGTGACAGCTAGCCGTTTACTGAGCACTTTCACATGCTAGTTAACATGTTACAAGTTATACACGCTTCATCCAATATTGATACTTTTGAGTGCCCTAGGAGATGGGTACTATTATTAACTCTACAAAGAAGGAAACTGGGAGTCAGAGATATTAACTAACATGCTACAGGTAGCACAGCTGGTACGTGGAAGAGCCAGGACTTGAACCCAGACGGCCAGACTCGAGTCCACACTGTAATTGTAAGGCTAGCCTGCCCGCACGCGCCCAGTGTGGCCTTCTCAGCTGGTCCCCCTTGGGGGCCAAGCTTGCGCCATGCTTGTGACCACCCTCCATTCTGCACTCCCAGCGCATGCTGGATGTCCCTCCCCACTCAAAGCCCTTCTCATGATATCACTCAGCAGCGGGGAAGGTCTGTTATACCCAGATGCCAGGCCTGGGCCAAGCAGTTTTCATTTTATTCTATTCAGGAAGAGGGTGGCAACAAAGCAGGGCGGGTTTTGTTTGGTTTTTTTCCTGTTATTGTTGGTGTTGTTTTTAATTTAACTAGCTGAGCCTAGCCTTTTATTTAAACAAAACAAAACAAAACAAAACAAAACAAAACCTAGTGCTTTAAAAACAAAAACAAAATAAAGGCTCCCCTCCCAGAGCTCCTGAGGGAGTGGCTTTGTTCAGAGCGGCAGGATCCTGGGGCATGAGGAGAAGAACAGGACTCAACCTGTCAGCCCAAATGCCAGGAGCTTGGCTCCCACAGCGCCCGGCCAGAGCAGGCATGCACGGGGACAGCACCAGCCGGGCAAGCCTGATACAGAAAGACAGAGGCCTGGAACCAGGGTCCACCAGGCCTGTGGGTAGGACAGATCGGGAGGGACCAAGGGACAGAATGGAGAGCAGGGGAGGGGCTCAGAGGAACAGGAGTGTTTGATCTGCGCCTGTCCTTTCTCTCAGCAGCAGCAGTGAGGAGAGCCCCCCAAAGAAGGACACAGAGCCATGGAGCAGCCCCTGTGCCCCAGAACTGAAGGGCTGCAGCAGGGGTGCGCCTGCCCCAGAGCTCTGTATACTGGGCCACGGGCTGCAACGGGGGGCCAGCCCCGGCCGCACCCAGGACAAGCCCCAGCAGAAGGAAGTAGCCTGACAGGCTGGCCAACGGAGTCACACTGATGCCAGTCACCCTGGAAGACAAAGGGTGACAACCAACCATCATGCTGCCCCATAGATAGATGGTGGGCCAACCAAACTCCTCCTGAGGTGTCCTGGAAGGACCTAGAAGGTGCCCTGCCCAGCAGGTCTGCTGAATTCTAAACAATCCTGTTTAAAGTCCCAGCTCCTGGTTTGCCTTGGGGCTCAAAGTTTAACTATAACTTTGGAACCCACCATGACACTCTTTAATCCTTCAAGTATGAGCCTTACTTTAAGGGGGAAAATGTGTTTAATGCTTGCTTGATGGGTCAGGTGTTTTACCTGGGTTAGCTCTGCGGAATCATTTCATCCTCACAATAATGAAGCAGATAGCAGTCTTCTGGGTTTGCAGGTAAGAAAACCAAAGCGCCGTCCCACCCAGCGACTTGCCTGAGAGGTCTCACAGCGAGGAAGAGAGCAGAGCAAGGATTTGAACAGGTGTGCCTACACTAGAACTTACTGTCTTCCGTTACATTTCATCGCGCACAAGCATTCCATCCCTCCATGTGCCTAAAGCACACATAGTTGTACAAACGGTTGGAAAACTTTGTTATTTTAAGGGTAAATACTGGCACAGCATTCCAGTCCCCAGGAAGAGCTTTGTTTAGAAGCTGATTGCTCCAGAGATAAGAAGGCTGGGGTGGAATTAAGACACACAATCCCACCCACCCTCCTAATACTCCTCCCCCAGCTCAGCACTGAAGGCCAATAGGCAAAGCTTCCAGCCCAGGCTTGCAGCCACCCCACCTCTCAGGCTGTATGACTCAGAGGTGCATCTCAAATGCTCTGCCCTATGCGTCCACATGCCTCTCACACCAAGTGGGCATGGCCCAGCCTCCCAAACAAGGCAACCTGTTCGCCATGCCTTGTGGGGGCTGGAGCTCAGGAGGGCATGTGGGTAAGTTGCATACACGTGCCACCTCTCCCAGGGGCTTCTCAGCCGACTTTATCTGGGTCACCTGCAGAACTTCTGCTGAAGTTGAAGTGAAGAACGAACGGTGGGTCATTCGTGCCCAAAACAGGCTTCTGTCAAGGACCTAGATATTTGCTGCAGATCTTGGAATTTTTCCATTGGAGGCTGTGGAGTGCTTTCTATTTAGAAAAGAATTTGCAGTAATTGGGTTATTCAATGCCGGCTCAGTGGGATGTCACAAGACAAGAATTCTCACGCACCGGGTGCAGCTAAGAGGAAACCCTCCAGATCTGCTGCAAAGCTGATTTCTTAAGTTTGGGGAAATTATAGACTTCAAGTCCTTTCTTGTTGAAATAGATCATGACTCAAGAACATGTTAAACTGGGTCCTGGGGACTAAGCTACCTCCTCTGGGTTAGGCCATGAGTCCAAGGAAATGAATCCGACCTTTACTTGTCCAGCTATTAAAATAGGGGTGACAGGATCATCTCTTCAGAGGCACCCAAGGAACAGTGATTAAACACCCAAGAGGTGCCACAACCCCCTCTCCACACACACACACTGAGAAATATCTGTGCACACCCAGCTATATGCTCACAGTTGCTGTGTAACTGCACTAATGGTCAGAGCAGAGCTCAGGCAGCAGCAGGGCCGGTTCTGGGGCCCAGCCACACCCTTGAGCAGGGGGCGTGGACCCTGGGAACCGCCTGGGCTGCAGAAAATGGTGGAAATCCAGCTGCCCAGGCAGGGCAGGGCTGAGGTAAGTGGGTGAGAACAATAGGTTTAGGAAACCTGCTTGATATAGAGCTGGGCATTCTCCCTACATGGTTAGGCCTACAGCGTGGGTAGCAAGGCCGTAGGTGGGGTTGGGGGTGCTGGGTAGGCTGGGCACTGAGCTAAGCATGCAGGAAGCAAGCAGTGTGGCGAGACCCAGCTCCCAGGCAAAAGCGCTGGTCAGAAAGTAGACCCTGCCTTGTGCAAGGGTTTAGGGAGAGGCTTTCTGGAGGTCTGAAGAAACAAAGCAGAACGCCAGTTGCAGGGAGACCGGACAGAGACAGAGCTGATGAAACTGGGACACAGCGTGGGGGCCGTAACCACAGGGATGATAAAGTCGAGTGACTGGAACCAGGATAGAAGCAGGAATCAGGTCCACAGGAAGGGACAGTGAGGCTGAGTCTCTAGCCCAGGTTCTCCCTTAAAGGGCCTCATCTTTGAGGTTTGGGGCTGGCTTGAGTGTGGAGGTGGGGACCAAGTGCACCCAGCTACATACAGCAATGGGAGCTAGATAGAGATGGGCAGCTGGGAGCCAGGCAGCATGTTATGTCATGGAGGGGGTCGGTATCAGAGAGAGCACCCTGGGGGAGTCTGGAATGAACCACTGCTGCCCTCCGTGAGTGTGCCTGGCAGGAGGCTCTCTGAGATGAAGGGTTGCCCCTCCCCCAAGCTAGGCTGGTAAGCAGCAGCCACCACCCAACCCATCCATGCTGCAGGCAGCAGTGGAGGGATACAGGGCTCCCAGGATTCATGCCATCAGCCGTGCTGCAGTTCATGGCTCCTCCTCATCCCTCTGCATTTACTGAGCACCTACTTCTGCCAGGACAGTGCTGGGCTCTGCCATGTAGCCCCATGTGTGATGTGATGAGGGGCCCCACGTGACTCCAGGCTCAGACAGCAGGAACAACTGGCTCCTGTAGACATCACGTTGCCCCATGACCCAGAGGCTTCAACACTCCCAAGTCAGTTTCCCTCGGGCAGATGGGGAAGGGTTTCTAAGGCCAAGGGCCTGGGTGTCAATAAAAGTCAAAGGTGAAGCAGTGCCAGGTCGGCACAGGAACAGATGGGTCAAGGATGTGCTTTTTTGGTTACAAGCGCAAGTGCCAGCTTTAGCCCAAATTACTTGTGCATTAGCGTTTGCACAAAAGAAAATAAATCCACCACAGCAGACCAGTTATGTGGCATGGGGTCGTTCTCCCACCTCCTGGCGACCAGGCCTTCCTTTTCCCAAACCCACGTCTTGGGCTCCGCCTTGGACAGCCCTGCTGGTCGCCCCCAGGGAAGCCCCATTCCACAGCTTCTCAGAGGGACCCCTCTTACCCACCCAAGAACCTCATCCTTGCTGCCCAATCCACGCCCTGTGCTCAACGGAGAAGGGAGGGTTTTTTTATCTGTTCTTTCTTTTTAAATTAACTAAGCCAATAGACCCAACCTACCAAGGACTCAAGAGTCTTT